TGGGATACCCCATTGGACACCCTTGGAGATGACGTCTCTCCAGCCTGGCTGAGCTTTGTGGATAGCCTTGTTGAAGAAGTCGTTGAAGAGCAGATTCTCGAGATCTGGGTTCTCCCGGTAGGCATGGGTGATGTCCTTCAAGAAGACGGATCGGATGATGCAGCCTCCTCGCCACATAAGAGCGATCGATGGCTTGTTGAGCTTCCACTTGTACTCCTTAGCGGCCTGTTGCATCAGCATGAAACCCTGAGCGTAGGAGATGATCTTTGAGGCGTAGAGGGCTTGTTCCAGATTCGCGAGGAACTCCTTCCTGTCTCCGGTGAAGTTTGGCTTTGGGCCTTCGAGAAGCTTGGCAGCTCGGCCTCGCTCGGACTTCAGGGAGGACAAGCATCGAGAGAACACAGCCTCACCGATGAGAGTCACAGGCATACCGAGATCGAGGGCGTTGATGGCAGTCCACTTGCCAGTTCCCTTCTGTCCAGCAGAGTCAAGAATCTTCTCGACGAGTGGCTTGCCATCATCGTCGTTGAACGCCAGGACGTCACGGGTGATTTCAGTCAGGAAAGAGTCTAGGACACCCTTGTTCCACTGACCGAAGGTCTCGGACATTTCTGGGTAAGTCATTCCAAGACCACGCTTCATGATGTCGTACGCCTATAGATGTCAGTAGTCTGCTCTGCTCTACGCTTTCATATGCTTACCTCGCAGATGAGCTGCATGTCACCATATTCGATACCGTTGTGCACCATCTTGACGTAGTGACCAGCACCTTCGTCACCAACCCAGTCACAGCATGGCTCGCCATCGGACTTGGCAGAAATGGACTGAAAGATGTCCTTGATGTGTGGCCAGGCCTCCTCGTTACCACCGGGCATGATAGATGGGCCATATCGGGCACCTTCTTCACCACCGGAAACACCGGTTCCGACAAATCTGATACCCTTCTCAGAGAGGTACTTGGTTCGTCGGTTGGTGTCTGGATAGTGAGAGTTACCACCATCGATGATGATGTCGCCGGGGTCGCAGTATGGGAGAAGCTTCTCGATGAAGTCGTCAACAGCGGGACCTGCCATGACAAGCAGCATCATTCGTCGAGGCTTCTTCAGCTTCTTGGCGAACTCCTCGATGGAGTGAGCACCGACAATCGACTTTCCTGCACCATCTGTTAACTATTGTTCCTGCTCTTCTCTGCTTCTCGCTGCATACCCTTGGCCTCATTTTCGAGGAATCGGTCGACCTTGGAGACGGTTCGGTTGAAGGCAACGACGGTGAAACCGTGGTCAGCAGCATTCATAATCAGGTTCTGGCCCATGACGGCCAGACCGATGAGACCAAAATCACCACTAGGTTCATCATGCGCCCTGAAACTGGCAGTGATGCCAGCCAAACGCGCACTAAGTCAGCAAATGAGACAGTCAACGACGAATACTTGCAGCCAGGAAAATAGAGCTCTTGACGATGTCAAAGAGCTATGTAGCGGGGCGGGCATATGCAGATGGAGCTTTGTACTTACACTGGGTCAGACATGGTTGCGGTATTGAGAGGTTTTCCAAAAGCTGTTGTGAAGGCGGTTTAGAGATTATGGAGGGACTTGATGGACAGTTTCAAACAATTCTCTCAACGCACCGAGAAGAGGAACTGAATTGAGTGAGAGAAGGAGTGTTGGAGGATGTTGCGGTTCAAGAAGTTTTTGAGTGAAGCCCGTGGTGCCCCACTACGATGATACTCAACACTCATCAGCATGACTGCGGGAACCGAAGCCGCAAGCTCCATAGAGGGGTCTCACTCGACGCTAAGGCTTCATACACCACTCACAATCTATGCTTGCTCAGACCGAAGGGAAAGAAAGGTCTTACGCTTGCCGCAGCCTGCCGTCACTTTGTCATTCAAGGCCAGTACTATTTCGCAGTAGATGCACGTTTGATGACCAAGGCCAATCGTGGTGAATCAGCTGCTAGTTTCGAGGTGGTGGAGGGACGTTATGTCAGCTCTCTTTACACGTTAAGCACCTTCCGAGTTCCATGAGTCTCCTACGACAGAACCATGTGTCTGGCGCAGGCAGAGAGACTCAGTATTAGCTTGTAGACATGAGGTTCTCCGTAGCAGTAAGCTGGCGACAGACGTTCCGTCGGAAGCACATAACACGAATTAAAATGCCTCAAGTCCTGAATTGTTTGTCCGGTCAACTTTGAAGCCTTAATGCCAAGCCTGTTGCGCTTATGCCTGACGCGGATGAATATGTTTGACATGTTTGCGCAACTGACTGATCGGCCTTCCACAGCGCGCCTGCCACATTCGAGTCTTTGAACCTTGGACCATATTCCAGCACTTGACAGCGTATGTTTTCGACTTTGCGCAACCCAACTACACGTACACATTGTGACCTCGCGTAAAAGTCTGGGTTCTAACAATCCGTGGGCTGCACGTGTGGGAAGCCGATAGGCACCTGGTACGTTCTTATCTACCCACGCCGGTCGCAAAAGTACACACATTCATCATGGCGTATCCGCCGCCTCCAGGTCATGCATCGTTACCTCCAAAGCCTCCGCCATCTGCGGCTCCTCCGAAAACAAACGCCTTCAAGCCAGCCTTCACAGCATTTGCGCCTCGAACGGTAGGCCCCACGGGGAGTGCGAACAGGTCAACCAGCACGGCACAGTACTCCGCGCCGCCAGCGCCCAATTATGCCGCACAACCATCATACACGGCCGCTCCTCAGCCTTCGTATCAAGCACAGCCGCAATATCCTCCGAGCTATGAAGCTGCAGCTCCCGGCGCACCACCACAGATAAGAAATCCATTCGTGGCTGCACCTGATCAACCGTCGGGCTCGAATCCTTACGGCAGCTACGATCCTGAATACGAAGCACAGCTACAGCAGTGGCAGTCAGCGTACACAGCTAAGGATGACAAGCCAGGATACACCAAGACTGCCGCACCAGTAGTCAAGACTGAGACCACAGCTCAGGGCTCAAAAGAAGCTCAAAAGACAGTGCAAAGATCAGGAGGTGGCACAACCTGGACAGACGACTCACTTCTGGAGTGGGATCCAGCACATTTCCGAATCTTCGTTGGTAATCTGGCAGGCGAGGTGACAGATGAGTCGCTGCTAAAGGCATTCGCAAAGTACGGGTCCGTACAGAAGGCGCGAGTCATTAGAGACAAGAGGACAACGAAGAGCAAAGGATATGGTTTCGTCAGTTTCGCGAATGGAGACGAGTATTTCCAGGCTGCGAAGGATATGCAGGGGAAGTACATTGGGAGTCATCCAGTTCTGATCAAGCGGGCCATGACCGAGGTCAGAGCCACCACAGTAAAAAATGACAGAGGAAAGCATAACAAGAATAAGAATAAGAACAAGGGAGCTGGTGGTCAAGGGACTGTGGAATATGGTGGGGTTGAGAAGAAGGCTCCGAAAACCAAGAATGGCCTTCGAGTGCTGGGATGAATTTGTCGAATCACATACTTGAGGACATCCGTGTCAAAAGAAGTGTGCAGGAGGATTGTGCTTCCGGTTCTGCTCGTGTGGTATCGTGACATATTTTGAAGGAGCAAGAAGTGCAGCTACAAAGCAGAACATGATCTTTTTAAGGCTATGGCCGCAGTAGCGAGCGAATTTGAAGGGCTGGTTGTGCTTCCCGTTTTACGCGCGCTCCTGGCAATGCGGAATAAGCTCATAAGTGAAGCGTACCAATGTTTTCGAGAAACTGTTCAAGCAGGTGCGTTGTCGCGCATGATGGAACTGCTCTTTGGCAAGCCTTTAGCGGGTGAGTCTCGTGACGGGATCTTGCGCTCTCGCTGCACGAGGCAATTGCGTCCTGGGCTAGATATATGAATGCGACCATCAGGAGGTACATGCGAAGGCGCGACCAGAAGGCTAGGCGTACAACGCCGCCTGGTACAAACACAGGCCTTGACTCAGGTGCTCGTTATTCCGACACAACGACCAGTCACAGAAGGATATAGGGTACGGCAGAGAGGAGTCGGGTCATTGACAGTCAGAACGCAACGCATTGGGGAGCAGGTAGTACAAAAGAGAGTCTTGATGGACACTCCGCCATGTTTCACGACTACGGGAGCGAACATCCTGCTGCTCCTGTTGATCGCTACCAACCACACCTGATGGCATTCTACTCATGGTCGCCATCACCCGTAGCATTGATGAACGTGATTCGAGGGTGTCCATGTTGCGATCTGTACGAGAGACTCTTCTGCCGTGTCCAATACATTGCTTTCCTTGTCCTGAGCACTTCCCAATATTTATGGTATGCCATTGCATACTAACTAGCATTTGAGTGAGCAACAGAACAAACTGGAATATAGGCTTAAGTTGAGTTGCAATTAGCTACAATCAGAATCATCTCTAGGAGTACCCAAAGCAAGAATTTTGTTGTAGCCTCAGGATACAGCGCACATGTCTTCCGTGCTCCGGCCCGTGGCTCGCCGTTTCGCCGACCTCCGGCGCTAGGATAGCCGCTTTGGACCTCGGCCCCTTTTGCGCAGAAGTCAGCGGCAGTTAACACAGAACAACAACATCACCATTACCGACTTCTCTTCTTGAACGACGAGACTTTCGCCAAGATCGCGACTCTGTAGTGTTTCCAATCTACGTAGCTGAGATCATGCGCAGTGTTGCCTGAGAAATCAGAGGTCAAAGGATCGATTATGTAGCGTCACGTGATTTTGGACGTCGTGGAACAATGCTTGCGAAAAGCCACTGGTACCAGAACCTGTTCACGTTTACGAGGCGTACAACCTCTGCTGTAGGGGTCGATTTGTGTACACGGAAGCACGTCAAGAATGTGCTCGCATATGCCACGGCCATTGTAGTAGTAATGTTCCGGCCTGGTTCCCTGTATTGTCCCCCGACTCTGGCCCAGTAGTGTCTTCACCCCAGAACTACGAATCTCAGGCTTCTCGGCGCCGGACATCGCCGGAAAGTGGATAGAGACATATGCGTTGTAACCACAAACTTACTTCAACAATGGCACACAGATGCTGGCTGGATAGTTCAGGTAAATTTCGACCTTCCCAATTGACTCGCCCCCAAACTAACAGGATTGAAGTGGTAGAATTCTTGCTTTGGGTACTCCTAGAGATGATTCTGATTGTAAGAGGTCCTGGGTTCAAATCCCAGTTCAGCCCTATCAACGGCGCCGCCTGGCGATCGATTTTTGCTCTCGATTTCCTTTTTGGGACACGGGGGTTTCGAGGCCATCAGGCTTTTTGTGCGGTGGGTCGGTGACGAGGCTAGTCCTGAAACAGAAAGCATCTTTGCCGGGCATTTGCTCCTATCGTCTGTCACTGCTCTCGCACATCGCGCTCGCTGTTGAGAGTGATCATCTTGTTGTTTGTTATGCTCGAGAGCTTCTCGGAAGATCAGCGTGCTCCGACTGCACGACGCGCCATCTTTTTGACGCGTAAATGAATCCATGGGCAATGCGCTACTGTAACCCCAAGGGTGAGCTCATTCTCGCATCGCGGAGCTCGTTGTCAGCAGATCCATCTATGAGGCACGGCGCGCCCCTGGCATCGAGGGCGGCGAACAGCGAAGTCCTCTCTACGATGTGCATGCCAGGCAGCACATGTCGATGTCATCCATGAAGCATGTATCTCACATTGGGGCTTCAAAGCTCGTCACGAAGCAGTATGCATGATGGCGCCTAAGGTAAGGCTGAAAATGACTTTCGGTGGACTCGACCGCCTCAGCGCGCCACATCGCTCTCATGACCCGCGCTTCCACAACAACTCATCAATGGCGTTTCGGTCTGTCGTGTTGATCAATTCTGGTGTTGCGCGAAAAAAATGAATATTGTTACTCAATTATGTGTGGTTGGCTTGAACGGGAGGGCTCCCGCGGCCAAACGTGGATCAGGGGTTGCAAAGCCGTCTTTGGTCTTGTTCAAGCAGGCGTGATCAGGAGATTTCGAGAAGGTACGTACAAGACGGCGTCGAGCGGTGGAAAGGAAGGAACCGAAGGACAGACGTGTCAAGCAAAAAAGGTGAAAGCACGACCTAGATCAGGTAATTACGTTTTTACATAAAAGCTGGAAGGTGCGATGTTGAAATGGGCATGAAAGAAGGCGCGACAAGGAGAAAAGTGTGCGATTTGACGACCGGAAGCTGCAATCCGTGAGGAAGGTGCCATTGGCATTATAGGGAGGCATGATCGTGAGGACGGCAGTCGCACTGCAATCAAGAGAATATCGTCCTGACGTGGGTACAAGGTGTTCATGCATGCTGTCAGCTCTATAGTATGGTGAGTTTCTTTGAGCTCCTCGCCATAGTAGTCGGAATCGGCCGCAGGTACACGCCCATATATGGCAAAGCAGAATCCGCTAGACTCAATAGCGCTGCTAGTGAGTCGACATCGTGACCAACCTCGACTTGCAAGCCATGCCATTGCAAGGTCTTCGTGTCATCCTCGAGGGGGACGCCCGAAGTATCTCGTGTTTTGATCAGGCTCTATCTACGGCCACTCAGGTTGGCGTGGATATAGTTGCGCCTTATTGTCTATTTCATCCACGTGAGGTACCTGGGTGCTTCGTGCTTCACCCTCGGACAGAGTCATGCTGCTTCAGTCTCTTGAGTTGTGCAAGACGTAGGACGGCAGCAATCTTGATACCCGTGATCGCTGAATGCTGAATAGATCTGTAACAAAACGCGGTGCAGTGGCCGCAAATTAGTGCCCAATCACACCGCTGTTGGAGCCTGCATCTTCGCGCTCGATGCTCGGAAATATGAATACGACAGCTTTGTTCTTTTTTTCTATCAAGGTGCTTGTTTGATGCTTTGCGTCGTGCGATAATCCCAAAGCTCAACGAGGTATGTGGCTTCGCTGATTTCAAGAAACAATGGGCAGACAAATATGCCTTTGCCGACGCGGAACATCAAGCTGACTGCTTGTTTCACTCCCGGGGGCACGCCAGTTCCCGATCATCAGACCGAGACTCGACGGTATCTCAAGATCAATTCGCGAATTTGCGAGATGTCTACAACATCTTGATGCTGTATCTGGGGAGGACGCCAGACTCTGAGACTGGTACGTGCTCGTGAGGAAAGTCCATGACGTGATTGGCGGGTTTGCGATTGCCACGGGCTTGCTTTCAATCTCCCGCACACTGCACCCCCTCAACGATGACTCGGAACTGACAGACATATGAAACTGAAGCAAGACTCAAGTGAATCAACGTCGCCTCAGCTCTCGCTTTGTTCAGTCTCAAATGCCACAAAGATGATAACGCCTACGTAACACTGATTTTTCATACTTCTGGCGCACGCCCGTCATCTCCAAGCCTGCCTTTAAATAAGCCGTGATCCGTCGAGGTCATAGCGAGGCACATCCCCAGGCTACATTACCCACTGACAATTAGGACCTATGAGCTACAATCTCTGGAAATACTTCTTCGATGACGATGTCGATAGCTTTCGGCAATATCTGGCGCGAGCCACCTTCGATCGCAATGCATCGAAAGCAGTGGGTGGCGGACATACTACTGCCCTCAGGGTAGGAAGTCCTGGCCACCTGGCGACCTCCCCGAAGACACCTGTCAGACCTAAGAAGAGCGGCGCACATGTTGCACTTAGTGGAGGAAAGAATGCGCCTATCCTGACGAGGTCAGACATCAACGCAAGAGATGGTTTCGGAAGGACACTTCTGCATCACGCAGTCTCATCGCGCAGCGAACATGCCATCGAGTTTGTCAAACTCTTGCTCGAGCTGCCATTGCTCGACTTGTACGTACAGGACACCGAGAGCGGCTGGACAGCATTGCACAGAGCACTTTACTCTGGCAATGTTGCAGCTGCGCAAGCCCTAACTGTCAAAGATATTCAGAATGCCACTGATTATACTACAAATGTCTCACATGCCAATGCCGGTGGCCTAGTCAAGATTAAGGATCATGAAGGAAACAGTCCTTTCGAAGTGTTTGGATTGACCACTGCGCCTCGCGATCTTCAGCAGCAGAACGCAAACGCCTCCCTAGAAGCAGCGGAGGCTGCAAGTGTTCAGAGCGCCGATATGGATAATGATACCGCAGGCAAGCCGCGCGATACCTTGCGACCACGTACAGATTTGCATGGCGATGAAGTCTTTGCTTTCGGCAGTAACAAGAACATCACTTTGGGCCTAGGCGATGGAGATGACAGAACGTACCCAGAGCGCATCCATCTCGAACGCCCTGAGCATCTCTTGGAACGACTGTTTGAAGATTACAAGATCTGGCGTCAGAAAGAATCTGTCAATGATGATCTCGACGACGGCATTGCTGAATTGCAGGAACTCCCTACGATCATCAAGAACAAGCCAATCGTGATTCAAGATGTGGTTATGTCAAAATTGCATACGGCCATTCTCACAGATGACCCTATCTCGAACCTCCACATCTGTGGGTTTGGCCCTGGCGGACGACTCGGAACAGGCGATGAAGCGACTCGTTTCACGTTTGCGTGTATCCAAGGCGGAGGTCTTGCAAAGCGTCGAGTATCTTCAATTGCACTCGGCCAAGATCATAGCATCGCCATATGCTCTTCCGGAGAAGTCTTTACTTGGGGAAGCAATCGATATGGCCAGCTTGGTTACGAACTGCCGGAAGTCCCTGCCCACGAAATGCCTATGCAAGTAACACCTAGGCAGATCTATGGTCTGATCAAGAAAGAGCAAGTCATTGGTGCCGCAGCCTCTTCCTTGCACTCAGTGATATACACCTCGTCGGGTATATACACTTTTGGCAAAAATGAAGGACAACTTGGATTGATGGACGCTGATGCGCGATCTCTGGAGACCCAAATTCTCCCTCGTCGAGTTGGAGTTTCGATCTTGCAATATGCTGTCGAGTCTGTAGGGGCAATCGACCGCGCGACGACTGTTCTTCTGGAGAATCACGATGTCATCGTGTTTACTCATTATGGCTGGACCAAGGTGCTGTTCCCTCTCGACACGTTCGGTAGCTCAATTGCTTCGGACGCTTTCTTCGCCCGTCACAAGCGTCAGACAAAGCACATCTGCAGCATTACATCGGGCGGCAACACCATATGCGCTCTGACGAGTTATGGCGAGGTCTTTACCATCGATGTTCCTCGACATGCTGAGTCAGTACCGTCGAGCAAGTCAACAACGAACCCGAGCAAGGCGAGAAATGCGTTGCCTACGCCATTCAAGGTATGGTCAATTCGCAAATCGCACATGGCGGCGCTCGATGTAGCGGTGGGTCAAGATGGTTCTGTCATCCTCTGTACTGCAGGTGGCACGGTCTGGAAGAAGGAAAAGCGTGCCAACATCAAATCTGTCCACACTGGTGTCGGCCACGTCAAGTCGAAGGACTACAAGTTCGTGCGAGTCCCCAACATATTTGGTGCTATCGCGGTGAGGAGCAACTCATTTGGAGCCTTTACTGCCATAAGGAAGGATTGCGATGTCATGAAAGAACAGATCGTTGTGGAACCCCCGACCCTCTGGAACAATATGTTCGACTTGCTTGCGTTTCGCGAGTATGGCGAAGCTACGGATGATGAAAATGCCGAAGAGCCACAACTAAGATTCTGGAAACCTGCAATGAAGGGTGCTTGTCCAGCTCTAATCAAGCGCGCATTGCTAATGAATACAAATGCTGAGGACGACTTTGTTCACGTCGCAAGACGTTTCGAGCCTCTCTCGAACTCTGACTACGATGTCTGGATCACTTCGAACGTGACCGATGTGCGACTGCCGGTACACAGCCTTGTGTTGAAGGCCAGAAGCAAGATTCTTCGTCGAGCTCTAGCAGAATTCGCCGAGACGTACTATTTCTCAGTCACTGATGTACTTAGTGTTGAGTATGGAACAGACGGGCAAATCCAGCTGCAGCTTCAAGGAGCAGATTTTCTTACTGTTGTCAACTTCGTTCTCTATCTATACACAGATACTTTAGCTGATGTGTGGCGGTTCACCTCAAAGGCACTTCACCTGGCACCACGGTACCGGGCAGTTCGTACAGAACTAATGAAGATTGCTCTTTCTTTGGACATGAGACATCTCGAACGGGCGGTGAGAGTAATGGATGAGCCGGTGCGGTCTCTACGAGACGATTCCGAGTCCGCGTTCCACGACTCGGATCTTTTCTCTGATGCGGACGTTGTCGTCGATCTTGCCGAAGGAGAGGAAC